CTATTTACACATGACTGGTCTTTTTTATCCCTTCAACCCTCTATTTTCACGTATTCTCTTTCCCAAAACACCCAGCTCTATCCCTTTCCCTCCCTTTGGTTCCTCCCCCAAACATCCCCTAACAGGTCCTGTGTAATCCTGAAATAATTCTTCCTCTGCATCCCATAACGTGTCCCCTACCTCTCGGCAGCAACCCCCAGGAAGTCCATGAGGTGCTCTGGCACTGACTCATCTAGATGAGTTTCTCTCTCAGGCCATGGGGGTGATGCTCCCCCAGGACAATCTTGGAAGGGGCCCTTCCTCTGAGCCCTTAATTTGCGTTCCTGCTAACCGCTGTGCCCCTGTGCTTGTTTGGGTTTGTGGAGGTGGGATTTCGCTGGGCTGACGGTGGTGGGGCTAGGAGCCATCGGGGGTCCTCCATCTGCCAATGTCTCTCTACGCTTCACTGTGTGGTGCAGGCAAGTTTTTATCATATGAACTAACAGAGTTTATCACCATTACTTCTTAAGCAAGCAAACAGGGCAACATTAGAGTGAAACAAAGACAATCCGGACATTAAAGTAGCTTATCTCCCAGAAATTAGGGTCATCCAGATTCAAAAGTGATTTGCATTGATCAGGCCTCAGCAATTTTTTTTTCCTCTTTTTGCCAGCATTTCTCACACTTCCACTAGATGATCTTGACACAGAGCCTGGGCAAAGCTATACAACACTCCCAACGCATGCAGTAACTAGGTGTATTTACCGTGTAAAGATGCAGTTAAAATACAGGAAAATTGAAAGGCACTTTTAACCTAGGTGTCACCCAGGTGAATTCAGATCTGGGATCATAGTTCCATTCAGTTGATTCCCAGTCCTTTGTACTAGACTTATTGCTTCAGCTTAAACCTCTGAATTTTATTCTTGGCTCCCACCAGAGCCACAAAATTTCATGTCCTGAGCTGCAAAATGGTATCCACAGTCCAAGAAAAGTTCTTTAGCTATCACGAAAGCATAACAGCATATGTGAGTACAAAACCAAGACATTTTGATGCTCACACTTGTTACAGACACACAAAATCTGTAATGGAGTGGGTTTTTTTTAGTTATTATTATTTAAAAGATAAAAAGAAAACAGCAACAACAACAAAAAATTCAAAACCAACAAACATATTCTATCTCGCTAGAGAAAAAATGGTTTTTCCAGCAATTCTCGGTCCCTTGCCCAAACTCCACAGAAGTGTTTAAGAGGAAAGAATGTAATGCAAAGCTCAGAAAAACCTGAAGCACCAAAACAAAAGCATAGGTTCATAGCTCCTGACTTGCTCATTCAAGCTTTTCATCTCTTTCCCACAGGGAAAGTATTTCCATGTTTGCAGAACAGCCAGCAGTGTGTTAAGCAAGTGTCAGTGTGAAGAGGTTGCTCTCAGGGTGGACGGTTTGCACTACAAAGTAGAATGTGTATATCTCTTCTTTCTCTCTGTGTTTTCAGAGAAGGAGAGTTTTAATTTAGAAGTTGGTAATTTTTTATGTGGGTAAAACACGTTGTCAAAGTAGGGGAGTTACACACAACATTGTGTAGAGACAACTCAGCTTCCCTCAGAAGCAACCATCCTTACCTTTCCCTAGACAAGCAGCACAAAGCCAACAGGTCTCCGATTCCTAATCAATGGCTAAAAGGTTCTTCCACAATGAATATATTCTCTCCTTCACCACCTACAGCTCATCTAGAAGTGACTGTGAACAGATTTTCCCTTGTTGCCTTTTCTTTTTCCTTTTTTTGAAAACATTTCTTCCGTTTCTCCAATAACGGTTAAAAGACTCTTAATTATTGTTTAATCTCCCCTTGAAATTTTAGTATTTTTTCACAACATCCAAACAGCTCATGGATCATCTATGAAATCACAATGGAAAGAAAATAAGGGATGACTGGGGGTGCAACTCTGCTTTCCAGTGTGTAAACAGAATGAAACTGTTTTAACAGTGAATTGGATCCAGCTTTACCATGCAACACTAAAATGTTTTTTGTGTTGCTTTAGTAGATGAAAGGACTGGTCCTCACCTGATTTAAATCAATGTTGTTCCATCTAATGCAACAGAGCTATCCATATGTACACCAAATTGAAATTTTGTCCTGTTTTTTTATTGCAAAGAGTAAGCCAAATCAAAGGTGAGATGAATTAGCATTTAATTCTGAACAGAACTATCAAAACTGTGGCCAGACATTAAAACCATGTTCCCAATGGTAAAGCTTTTTGATCAGACTCTGATCTCTCTGGCATTACAGAATAGACACTCTTAGTGTGATCACTTTAGCTGTAACCTAGACATGGATCTGATGTGATTTATTTTCATACGATGCCTTGAATCAACGAATTTCAGCTCAGCACACTTAACTAATCTCGCCCTACACGCTTCCAGACATGTATCAAGATCTGAATCAGCTTGCTAGTTATTTTCATTCTGCTCAGTCTAGTCTATTAAAGCCAGAAGTTTCTGACACTACAATCTCCTCAGTTAAAAAAAAAAAAATGCTCTACTGCCTTTTTAAAAAATTAACTTTGTGTCAAGCTGATGCTTGAGACTGTGTGTAACAACTAGTAAATAAATCCTGTGTCCTGGGATCTTTTGTGATCAATCTAATTTCAGGAGAACTCATAGTTATCCCTCTAGTACAAGCTTCAGTAACCTTTTATGACGCTAAATTTCAATTAGATATTCTGATCTTTCTAACACTACATGTTAATTACAGTTTATTTTAAATCTTTGATACATGCATATATTTAAAAAAAAATACACAACAAAGGCAATGCCTCCAATTAAGTTTAGACCCCTTATGCACTAGAAGTCATACATATCTTAAATATGTTAAGTAATACAAACAGATACAGCAAACAAGAAGAGAAATGTAATAATTCCATCTTTAAAAAAACTAAGAACTAAAAGAAAAAATAATTCAATGTCTCATCAAAAGACATCTGTGGCAAATCCATGCACATCTACCATAGCCTTCCTGATGCTCTGTCCAGTCTTTTCAACACAAAACCATTCTCCCCACAATTTCATTCATAAATTAACTTCCCTGAAGATCTCTGGGTGTAGACAATTTATGACAATACCACAGTGCTACTACAGCAGTAGCAAAACAAAAAGAATAAGCACAGGAGCATTAATATGTTAGTAGGGTCCTACTGTGTAGCTGCAGAAGCCATCCTGTGGCTTGGTAAAGAAACTGTTTATCCGTAGCAATCTTTCAGTCTGTCACAGTGTTAACAGGTCCTCCCAAGTACCAACAGGACATTTAAGAAAATACTTTCTAATCTCAAGAGTGTCCAGGAGTTCCCTTGCTGCTTATATTCCTGAGCTTCAACATTTTCCATATTCTTTTTCAAAAATCCCTGTAATTATGTAGGCTGAATTATGTAAGTGCATGTCCCCTGGCTTTCTAAACTCTCTACAATTTAGTGACAAATCACTTCGGTTCATATATAGATGTAGCAATCCTTAATGATTCCCACAAGAAGAAAGTCAAATCCACCTGCTAAATGCCTTGTAACTTTTGCTTACCTTAATACTCAACTCAGTCTTCCTTTTCAATCACCAGTGAGTTCTCACATTGTGATTACAGTTACAAGGGCTAGTGCCTCGCTAGAGGAAGCCAGCAGTACCCAGAAACACTGCTCTTTGCTAGTGCATATTCAGAAACCAACCAAGCACTTCCATTTCAAGCCACAGTGCTTGTGTAGCACTGTCTCCGAACTGTCATCACAAAAGGCTGAGACTGTTTTAGGCACTTACAATTAACATGCTGGTGGCTACCTGCCATGCTACTACAACCTGGCCATGATATTCAGAGAAGTACACTGGCCAGACGCTGGGAGGCGTATTCTAACAGTACAGTGGCTGGGGTGGTCCTGAAGATACGACATTTTGCTACCAACACGAGTAAATTCAGTCTACTTAAGAGCTTGTCTTCACACGAGAAGGCTTCAAAACAGAAGTTTCTTACTCCGAAATGTAATGAATTCCTCTTCTTTACATAAAAGCGTATCTTCCTTTATGGCTCTAAAATGTAGGCTAATTCATCAAGTGATTAAGTAGAAGAAAGCTTCTCTGAGCAGTGAACTATCAGAGATTTTGGAGAAAAAGGCATCTGTTTTAAGAGCTGTATATACATACCTTTATTTGCCAACATAGTGATAGCAACATATGCCCCTAGTGAGTCAATGCTTGTGTCAACAACAGGGCTATTTTGCTAATAAAATTTACGTCACTCCCCGAACAAAACAATTTGTCCTACCAAAAAAGACATTTGTTTTTAAATCAGTAAGATTACATCTTGTTTAGAGTTCATATCTCCATATCTGTTAATTGGGGATATGATTCTCTTTCACATTCTTTGCCAACTTAAGCATAAAAGTAAACTTTCTCAGCATAAAGCAAGACTGCCTGTTCTAGTAAGCATGAGATTAAATATCCTTACCACATTCTAACCTGCTAATCTGTCCATGTCCTCTGACTGACCAGATTGACTCACTTACTCTTTTTTCAATTAAATACAGTCAAGGCAGAAACAAACAAACCTTTGCAACTGTTTGAAATCAGCAGTAAACTTTGGCAGGATCGCAGCTGATAAAAACGTAATTCCTGCAAAATGAGTAATACCCAGCATGTCATACAGAGGAAATAAATTCAGAGACATGAAAGAGAAGCATGCGAACACAAAGACAATGAAGAAACTGCAAGCTTACGGATCTGCAAAAAGACAAGGCAAATAGTGCTGACTACTTCATCAGCATGACCATCCTGCTTCAGAGAAGTTTACTGCGAGTTTGCATTACATTGACATTGTACATCAAAATCTTGCATCCAGTTTGCCTCTTCCAAGGAATTAAAGTGAACTACCACAACATGAACTTTCTGTGCAAAATGGATGGATATTTTTCTCCACAATGTCTCAGCGAAACAACTGATTTCAGATTTCCCATGGAAATTACCAAAGTCACACAGAAGAATGTCACAATGATCATCTATGAGTTCCTCCAACAGATCTTCCAACTATTTAGCAAAAATCTTCCTGCTGGTACTTGGAATGCAAGCAAGATTGAGAAATTTCAAAACAGAATTCATCAGCAAATTGAAGAATTAGAGACATGTTTGTTAGAAGAGCTATCAAGAACTTTCAAAAGTGGATCCCAAAAAGTACTACCCTCAGCGTGAAAAGGTACTTCCAAAGAATCACCAGTTTCCTAAAAGATAAGCAATACAGCCAGTGTTCCTGGCAAGCAGTCCAAATGGAACTGAGGACATGCCTTATAATTTTTGACAGTCTGATGAAAAAACACATGTCATAAAGAGGTAAAATCTTCTTTTCTTGGATTCTTTGTAAGAATATGATAATCTTCCCCTTTTTGATAGGCTTTTAAATCCCATATTTTAATCATTTTCAAACTGATAATTGGGGCTTGTTTTCAAAAAGCATTCAGGGCTCTAAGTTAAACACGTAGAGTACTCAAGTAAAGGGGCATTCAGTATCACTGCTTCTGTGGGAGATAAGCTCTTTAAAAAACAAGTGGATATTGCTACACTATAAAACCATTTTGTGGTCTTTCCGTAGAATATGCCAATTGTTTTATGACCTGAAATTCTTGCATTTGGACACTGCATAGATTTTACTTCTGCATTACTTCACTAATACAGAAAAGAGTACAAGATGCAGACATGCATAAGGAAGACAGACCTTCCTGGAGTCCTGTAGGCTACGAAGATCCTAATTTACAAAACAGATTTTAACATAACTTGGACCTCTGTAAACTCAAAAATAATGATGGGTAGACCTTCAGATCTAGAAAGTCAATTTCCAGCTTTGATCCTTATTTTGCAAGTAGACTCATCTCTATATCCTATGGGGATATAAAAAAACATCTTTCTATACAGCATATTCAGTAACTACAGCATGGATTTTTAGGATATGTTGGTTTACAATGCTACACAAAATACGTATCTGTTCTGTCTGCTTTGAGTTCACAAGCAGACAAGATTAATCTGAAAATATTTACTATATGGACACAGATGCAAGCAAATGTCTTCCATTTCTCTCTCACCTTTCTTTCCCTCACACAGGCAGAGCCAAGCAGTGCTTCAAGTCATTGCCTGTTTAACTGCTACTCCAGAAACCTTGAATATCCTGGGTCCCAGTACCACTCCCTGTATCATCACTGACTGGATGAGTTCTGACATGTTTTTTTTCCCACCTCTGATCTCCAAGCATATCTGATTCCTAAAATCTGCTTATAATAAATGGAATGCGTTGAATTGGAATGTAAAAGGAAAGCAGCCAAAATATTTCTGTGACTATATGGGACTGGGGGAAGAAAATGGGAATATTTTGAAGAGAAAAAATTCAATGTGCTGCTACCATTACCTGAGGATAGAATCTCAACAATTTGCCTGAGAAGTTTGAGGGCTGGACAGCAACTTTAGTCTCACAGTCTCATGTCTTTATTTAAATGTTATATATATAGTAGGGAAAAAGGCAGAAAACTAATTCTGGATGTACTGATCTTAATAGAATGGTATTATTATTCCTGATCCCAAGTGTACAACAACAGGATACTTACAACTGCCTACTTTTAGGCGTCTAAATAAGACATTGAGCTAAGGAGACTGGCCCACCCATTTCATTCTCACATGATCCTATTTTACAGAATGAGGGGGAGGAGAGCATGAGTTTCAGACTCCTAAATATAAGTCTACTTTCAATCACCAACGTAAGAGGTCAGTTCCTTAACTGGTTGTAAATGGAGCTTCAGGTCAATTTAGCATATACTTAAATTCCCAACAACCTCATTAATCAATTTTTGGAATCTCTGTTTTTGTTAATTTAAACACTTAGCAACTACTTTGATGCCATAGTGATGTTTGACAGCAGAAAAATATGTTCAAGCACATTTAATCCTGATTGGTATTTTTTTTCCTAATTTGCTGCTTTTAATGTATGGTTACTGTGGGGAATTAATACAACCCAATTTTGGATACCCATCTTAAGAAAGCTGCTGAACTAAAGCCCATGAACTTGAGGTTTCCCTATGCAAAGTGCATCATACAAGATGATGTCAAGTTGTATCTATGTACCTATATCTATGCTGGACATACTTCTCTTTGCTCGAATCTGGACTTGGATTTCAGTTTCTGAGAAGCCAAGAGTCAGCACAGACTTCAGCAGATATGACTGGACACAACCTTACACATCCTACCAGATTCCATCAAGTCTTCCTGGGATCACAGCATATTTTGGTTAGGTAATGACAGCACCATGAGCAAAAGCCATCACTTGACAGCGTGGAAACACTCACATCTTTCATCTGCTCTTCTGGGGCGGTACTTCCACGAATCTAAAGCAGATATGTCTATTAACTCATGCATGCTTTATTGTCAGTTGTGACTCACATTTCAAGATGCAGGGGTTTTTTTTTGAGAGAGAGAGGGAGATCAAGAGGTCATAAAGCCATGCATTCATTAAGTGATAACATGGGGTATCCAGGTGAGCTTAACTGACTGGTGTCAGCTAAGCATTTATAGGGAACAGTGAAGAACTACCTATGCTAGCTTTCTGTAAAAAAAAATATTTGCTTTTACAAGTTAATTCTGTCTCACAGAAGAAAAAAGAACTTATTGTAGACAGTATTTTTTTCATGTTTCTCATCTGAAATTCAGTGTTAACCTTCAATGAGGATACATATGCAACTTTCCATTCCTGTGGAACGAGTTGCACTGTCTGAGACTAAACACGGCCATCTACTACTTGAAGTCAAATAGCTTTAAATCTTGACCTTTTCACTTACAGGAGTATTTAGAAATGAAGTACTGCATTTGTCTATTAAAAATTCTAGACTACTGTTGTTACATGTAACTTTTACAGTTAAACTTTTTGTAACTTTTGTAACTTTTTACAATTACTGGAACTAGAGGTTCAAAGAAACAAAACCATGTCTATTTGTTCAAGTTTTTTTAGATTGTTGTTTTTCATACCACTGTGGATACGCATCACTTCAATGTCTACCTTATCAAGCACTGTTATTGCCATGTCAGGGGGTATTTCCATACAAGAACAAAGGGAAAAAAGGCACCAGAATGAGAAATTAAATTACTGCATTTCATGATCCTCTGACTTGACAGTTTCTTGACTAGATAAAAGAAGAAAAAGCGGTAGTCCATATTTTTTTAGGGAATCACTATTTGAAATGTTCACTGCTCACTGCTAGCATTTGTACCACATTGTACTGGTCATTGAAATCTCGGATCATTTTGAAAAATAGATAGTTGTGAGATGGAGAAGAAAAATAGCAGTTTAGCATTAGAAGGAATGCACAATTAAAGGGTGAGAAATAAAATGGAACTTCATTTCTTACAGCCCTCAGCCACACATCTTCGGTTTCAGCACACTGAGAGTGCCACCCAGCCAAAGGCTGGTGTCAAACTTCCCCAGGCTGTTTTACATGCCTGTTCAGCACTCCCTCCAGTCCCCGATTTAGAGACTGCACTCATCTACCTACTAGCACCTGTTTTAAAACTTCAGAGCTGCATAAATATCATAGAGGTATTTTCATTTTTTTATACCCTCAAATGGCAATAAGTGTAAAATTACAAAAAGGAAAATTCAAAACAAATGTTCACTACTGTGGGAAAAGACTTGTTTTTAAGATGGGAGAGGCCCTCTATTACCAAATACCTGTATATAATGCATGTTACTACCACAGCATTTGCTACAGTCTTCTGGGTTTAAAAACCTGCATCCTTTGGTAGTATGAAACTATGTTCAACCTTCATACAAAAACAGAAAATCCTTTTTTTCTGATTGTATTGGTGTGGTAAGGAAATGTGCTCAATAGCAAAAGTGGCAGATATTTTAAATTAAATCCGAACACAGATTTCCTAGATCAAACAGATCTTGGGAAGTCTTGACTGAAGAGCACCGTGCTCTTAAAAAGTGTGTTTCCATTAAGCTATTTGATTAGCCTAAGTCCCTTCTTATCTTTTTGGGGTAAATCAAACCAAAATTATGGCCCACAAGACAGGACGACCCAATTTTACACCCTCTCTCTTCCTCCCTTCCCCACTTTTCAAACCCACATTCTTGTCCTGCTGTAACACTTGTTGAACCTTTTCCTGAGCTTGCCAGACTGACAAGAAATTATCCAAACAAAACAAGCAAGCATAATCCCTATTTTTGCTCCAAGGTGAAGATTTCGAGTAAAGCAGAGAAGAACTCCGACCGCATATGAGAACCAGCACAAAGTGGAAAGGGGACTGTGGCAGCAAGACTTCGTAACAACCACAGGAGAGGAGTGAGCAAAAATCTCCTCTTCTGTTGTTAGCCAGTCTGGATTCCGTTAAAAGAGTCTCTCAGCTACTCTGTGTACAGCTATTACATTTTCAGCCATACCCACAGTTCATTTCTAAGCCTTTTTCCTTTAATGTACTAATTTGCTAATTATACACCACCCAAGAAGCTTACTGCAGCAGTAAGTTGGTAATTTCTCAGGAAGTAAGTTTAATTGTAGAGTAGTTAGCATTAACATTCCAGTTACATCTTACTCATTTCAGCTTTCTGCCTCCATCTTACTTTCACAGGCCTAAGCCCCTGGCGTAGAAGAGGCTCACAAGACTCATATCTGTAAAAGATACTAGTGAAGCATCTAATCCCAAGGTAACGTCTTAAAACATAAAAATAATACCATTCTGTTTTGTCTATAAACTGTTCCATCCGAGACCTCACTTTACTGGACTCATGATAAGGACTGAACATTAAACAAAGAACAGTACCACGTTCTTCCCGCAATATTTTTAAGCAACTGCTATTCCAAATGACTCTGTGATCCATGTTCCCAGAGCACTTGGCCCTGTCTGCTGCTCTTAGTTTCTGTTCCAGAACACGAGCACCTTCCTTAGGGATCTCAAACGATGCCGAGTACTTTGCTGGCAGTTGATAAAGGAACATTTATCATGACAGAAGTATCAGCAAAGAGGCTGAAGTGATCTGGTCCAGTCCCAAGTTTCACATCACCCACTAATGCACTCTAAACAGTGCCAGCTACTACACCAACACTGTGGCAAACAGTATTAAATCATCACTCCATGCTGCTTGATGTCAAACAACATCACGCTATTATTCTGTGTCCATCTCCTTTTGCTCTTCAGAGATTTCTGGAACTCAGTATTCCTTGACTGTACCCTGTCTACCTTGTGTTCCTCTTCTTTCTACCCTACCCCCCTTTTTGAGATGTGCATACTCTCTGTTACAAAAGAACAGCTGCCTCCTTTTTTTGTGGCAGGCATGCTTTTTCTCTGTCCC